GTTTTAATGTCACTGAAGAGCTGTCCTTGACCTAGGAAGAGTTCTGGAAGAAACACTTTAGTGTCTCCCACTGAAATAGCCTCACTGACAAAGTCTGGGAAGATGTCATGTACCATATCTTAAACTCATCCTGGAGGAAACTGGCCAGAACATGTAACTAAACTTGACTACCTGTCTGATGCACAGGTAGTGGAGGAGATTATGTCCATGGGCAGGAGTAGGGTCTGGACATCGATGGGGCAGATAAAGGAGCTTGTTGAGGACCACAAGGAGCAGCTGATGATGGAAAAACTTGAACTCCAGAATGAGCAGCAGGAGGCACTTGTTGAGCATTTCGTTGAGGAAGAGGAAGACAGGGAGAAGGTTAGCAGTGCTGTGATAAAATCCATTATGGAAAAATGGAATGAGTGCCAGAACTTTGTAGAGAAGCATCATGCTGAGATGGCTGCACATGATATTGTACCCCTCTCCATGATTCCAGTGAGGCTCCCATGAGATACTAGATTTCTAGAGCTCTCTGAGGCTCCTCTTCTTGTGTGCCTCTTGAAGATCTTTCTGTAGCTTCTGCCCCTTGCTGAACACCAGAAACTGTAGGGCCCTGTACTTTCTCTGCCCTACTTTGGAGAAAGAATATAGGTCTTCTGCTCTGATGCCTTTCTGCTGGTTTTGGAGTTACCTTCCTAGACTCTTTCTGGACTTGGCCTGTGGCACATCAACTACTTTCAAGGCCTAAATTTTGTACTTGCCTTCTGGCCCCTGTGCCTTCTCCTAGTCTGTAGAATGTCTTTCTCACTTGGGGGTAGGATGGGCACTCATCTCCTGGTTAAGCGTTCCCCCAGATTCTTTTTTTTTCCCCTCTCCTTTGAAAACTCAGAAGCCAGAGATTTGACTTACATTTTCTGTAGTTATTCTCTTTTCCCCAAAGCAGTGTCTGCTGATGTTTGGGGAGAAATATGAAAGGATACATATAAGTTTTGGAGAAAATAACCCATAGTTAATCTCTCTGCAAAAGGTGATCTAGTTTCAAGAGAACGACATTAGCTGTGGTTGTCCAACATTTCAAAGCCATTGACTGACTTTGTCACTTTAATTCTGGTTCTAGAAAGAAAGAAGTGTGCCACTTGGGAGGAGAACAGGAGGTCTGCAAAATGCATGTCTCCCGAGATGCCTGTCCTGCTGCTGTCATAAAGTTTCTCCCAAGCAGTTGAGGCTCTGATAGAGTAAATATATGTCATGTTATTTAGGAGGGATGGCAGGCTGAGAGTCACTGAGTAAGTGACAAGATCCCATGTTGTCTTTGGGTGATACAGATCTCATAGTAAGTTATGGGCAGTGAGACTTTCTTCTGTCATTCAGTGACACAATTTAGGCAAGGAAGGGAAAGTATCTGCACCAGCTAGAGATGATTACAACAGATATCACCTGTCTTAGTAGCCCTTCCTTCATCTGCTAAGCTGTGGCAAATGACAATTTATGCTTTATCATCAGGTTGCCAGGCAAGGCTCAGGTAACCACAGTGTATGTAAAATCTCATGCTCTATTGCACAGTAGTTGGTGTTTGCAAGGGAAATATGTATTCTAAAGCTTTTTATAGCATTTGTTCCTTCACAGCAAGAGAATATTGCAAGTTTGTGTAAAGCTTTATATTGTCATGCTTAACCACTGTGACTTTTACAACTGCGTGCTAGCTGGAGCCCAGTAAATTACTGAGAAAGCACTGTGAAGATGTCATTAAGTGTCGCCTGCTGCTTTGTAATCTTCAGAAGTTACAGAAAAGCATAGCTTCATATGTCACTTCAGATTCCTTTAGGTATATTAACAATCTGAGGTTCCATTCTTAGTAACAGGTCATTTTAACCAAATTCTTTAGTCTTTCTATGGACTATTTACCAATCATGTGTCTCTCTACTTCATTATCAAATAGGGACCTAGCAGGAATTTTCAATACCTAACAAAACCGATATGAATGTACCTGCTGGGGGAAGGGAACCAAATGTTTCAATTTCCTAAATTGCAGTCCTAGATAAAGACTCCTGTAAGTGACAGCATGGATCCCACAGATTGTGAGTCTCTGATTTCAGAGCCACTTTTTCTACCACAAGTGACTTGCTGACTGTGGAAGCAGCCAGGGGTTGGCTTTTAGGGATGCGATGAATTCAGAATGGAAAGACAAGGTAGGACACTTAAGTTGAATAAGATATTAAAAAACTCAAATTTTAGGAAAACTATTTCTCAATAATGGTTACATTGGAATATAAAGTTTTCTTAAATTTTGTTTTTGAGCATGGAAACATAACACAGTTTTTATTGGTCAGGGAAAAAAGCCATTACTCACCCAACAGTAGATCAGTTCTCCTACTTATAATCTTGATTTCTAGGACAGATTTTCTAACTTAGAATTTTCCTGAATTCCTTTTCCTTCCTTCCTTTCTTTTTTTCTTCTTCATTGAGTTTATTGGTACATTTTAGGTATACAGTACAGTTACATTCATTATTGGGATCTTGTACCTTTACATGACAGGTCTTGGTTCTCATTTTTTCCCCTTGTCCCTGCCCTCCCTTCACCCCCTCCTCCCCTCCCCATTTACAAACATTCTATTTCCATTTCTTCATTTTCTCCTATTTTTTTCCCTTATTACCTTTCCCCTACCCTTCCCACTTTCCCTACACCTTTAGCCCTTTTCTTCTCATTTCATAATGTCAGTTATCTCATTAGGATCTTATGTACTATTATAGTTTATTCACAACAGAGAAACTATTCGGTATTTACACATGTATGACTTATTTATTTCACTTTTTTTTTTTTACTTTTCTTCCTTTTTTCTTCTCTTCTTTTCATCATGTATTGTCATTAATAAATGGGGTGGGGGAGAAACTAACAGTGTATCTGGCACAAGAAGTAAATTCTACCTATGGTCTTATTTGAGGAAATTACTATTTTTCCATAGTAGGACAGCTAGAAGAAAAGGCTCATCTGAATTAATGAAAAATTTACAATATGATCATGTTTCTAAGAATGGTAGGAGCTCTCCTCCAATGCATTTGGTGCTGGTGTTTGATTTGGAGAAGAGAAAACAATTTTAAAATGAAATGACATAAAACATCAACTTAAAATATATCATTATGCATTTTCTCCAATATTTTAAATATATAGCCATCATGTACTGTCCTCTGGTTAAAGTTCCCTACATCTTTTTCAATAAACCACACCTGTAATATATTGATTACATTTCCTGATTTATCTTTGATAGTATAGAATGAGAATTTAGCAATATGAATTCAGAATACTAGATTTTTATATGTTTAGCCAACGTTTTAGAACTGTTTAGTAAATTACTTGACAATTATTTTTGCAGGTTGTCATGATTGTTTTTTGGTAAGCCCTTGACTTTATTTTCCAACCAAGAATAACTGATGCTTATCCTTCATCAGTTTATATTATAAGTAAGTCATACATTTACAATCATGAGCACAACTAGCACAGTATAAACCCAGTGATTTTGGTAAGCACACATCTCAGTTGGAAGGGCAAAAGTTGTTAGGCACGCTGAGAGCCTACCTGCCATGGGTATTTCCTATGGGAAAGGCGGGTGTGAGTGTCTGTTAGATGAGACTGGGAGAACAATGGCTAGTCCGAGAGTAGGTTAACAGACCTTTAATTAAGAATGTTCTTACTATAAATACATCTTAATTAATATGCATAGATAGTAACTCTTAAAGAACATGTTTTTGCAAAATGTTTTCTAGCACAGGACTTGCAGAACTTGCCTTAATGAAAAACCAAAGCTCACTTATAATCAGCAGAATCTGTCTGCACACATAATTGGTGTTCTAAAGTGCTTTCCCCCAGCAATCTAGTTTACACTGTGGAACTGTAATTGGTTTGTTCATCAGACTATATTTTTTCTTAGATGGAAAGTGATAATGTTTTGCTCTACTCCTCACTGAGCTCTCACAATTTTTAAATTAACAATTTGGAGATTTAATTAACTTCTGTTTATAGATGATAGAGATCCTAAATCTATCAATGTTTTCAGTTAAAATTTCTTTTTCTTAAATACTGCTAGTAATAACACATGATATTGCAATGACAGTTAGAAGAAGAAAATAGGTATTGTTCCTACTAATATTAGATCAACAGATTTGGAAAATTTTAGGACTGAGAGAGTGAGAGAATGTGTGTGTGTGTGTGTGTGTGTGTGTGCGCGTGCGCACATGTGTGTGCCCATTTATACACATGAAGTCAGACATAAAGAGGCAAAGAGAGAGACAGAGACAAAGAGAGAGATGTTACGCAAAAGGAAAGTAAGACATAAAGAGACAGTTTCAGATTTTATAAACATGTATGTATATATAGAGATTTTATATGTGTGTGTGTTTGCAGAGAGAGAGCAGAGAGAGAAGAAAGAAGAGGGAAGGGGAGGGGACGGGACGGGAGGGGAGGGGATGGGAGATGGGGAGGGGAGAGAAGAGAGGAGAGGAGAGGAGAGGAGAGGTGAGACAGGAGACAGGAGACAGAGGACAGAAGACAAAGAAATAGAAAATCAGGGGCTGGGGATTTGGCTCAGTGGCTCCTGTGCCTGCCTCACAAGTGCAAGGTCCTGAGTTTGATCCCTGTACAAAAAAAAAAAAGAAATAGAAAATCGGAGATAAAAAGAGGAAAACAGGACAGAAATAGAATATACAGAGAAAAACAACCAGACATCATGAGAGAGAGCACATTTATTGAGAAAGAAGATGAGCCACTGCAGCAGTCTTGCTCAGTTAACTTCATGTCTGCTTGCTACAAAACTGTAGAATGCACATGTAAGGAACCAAAAGACCTTGAGGAGTCCACACCCCTGAATAGGACAAGAGAGCAGCCCAGGGCCAAAGAGCAGATACAGACAGTATGAGTAGATCACATCCTGTTTATTAATTTGGTGGCTCTGTATCACTTGCTTCATGTGAATTAAATGTGGTTTTCAACTCTGAATATATTTAAAATCTTTTGGCTGCAGAAAGGTACTGAAGGAAATCTCTGTTGGAGGACTAAATCCAAATGAAACCGTACAGGCCAACTGGGAAGCACAGCTCCTATCCAAGCTGGACCATCCAGCCATTGTCAAGTTCTATGCAAGCTTTGTGGAGCAAGATAATTTCTGTATTATCACAGAGTACTGTGAGGTAAGACTCCTTTTTTCTCTTGGAAATCTTAGTAAAGGTCTGTTGTGCTGGGTAGGGTGGTGTACATCTGTAATCTCAGCTACTCAAGTGGCTGAGGCAAGGAGGATCAAAAATTCAAGTCCATTTCTCATAATTATTCCTTTCCCTTCCTTCCTTTTCCCCACCCTGCCACTTCCCCTTCCCTTCCTTTTGACCTTTTTTTCATATTTCACATTGTCTATTATACATTTTGATCCTTATTTACACTTTTATTTTCTCACACCAGAGAAACTATTCAGTATTTGCATGTGTGTCCTGTTTATTTCGTTTAAGAGTATGGCCTCAATGTGGATCCATTTAGCAATAAATGTCTCTAGTTTCTCATTCTTTATGACTGACTAGTACTCCATTTTAAATATATTAAAAAACCCACACATTTTCTTTATCCAGTCTCCAACCAGTAAAATTAATGAATGAAAAAAAAAAGTTCAAGTCCAGCCTGGGAAACCTAGTGAAACTCTGTCTCAAAATAAAATAAAAAGGTCTGAGGATGTAGCTCAGTGGTACAGCAGTTGCCTAGCATGTGCCAGGCTCAGGGTTCAACCCTCCGCACCACAAAAACAAACAAAAATAAAATATCTGTTGCATAGTAAAAAGCTTTTTCTTTTTTTTAAATTTTATTGAGTTTATTGGTACATTTTAGGGATACAGTACAGTTACATAGAAAAAAAAATTCAAGTCCAGCCTGGGAAACCTAGTGAAACTCTGTCTCAAAATAAAATAAAAAGGTCTGAGGATGTAGCTCAGTGGTACAGCAGTTGCCTAGCATGTGCCAGGCTCAGGGTTCAACCCTCCGCACCACACAAAAAAACAAAAATAAAATATCTGTTGCATAGTAAAAAGCTTTTTCTTTTTTTTAAATTTTATTGAGTTTATTGGTACATTTTAGGGATACAGTACAGTTACATTCATTGTTGGGATCATGTACCTTTACATGGCAAGTCTTGATTCTCATTTTTTCCCCTTACCTCTGCCCTCCCTTCACCCCCTTCTCCCCTCCCCATCTACAAACACTTTATTTTCATCTTTTCATTCTCTCACATTTTTTTCTTTTCCCTTTTTGTTCTTCCCCTACGTATCACACCTTCCCTACACCTTTAGCTCCTTTCTTCAAATTTCTAAATGTCAGCAACCTTATTAGAATCTTATGCATTGTTGCAGAATATTCACACCAGGGAAACTATTCGGTATTTACACATGTGTGACTTATTTATTTCACTTAGGAGTATATCTTCAATATGTATCCATTTTCCTATGAATGAATCTATTCTCTCGCTCTTTATGGCTGAGTAATATTCCATTTTATAGAAAA